TATATATATATATATATATATATATATATATATATATATATATATATATATATATATGCACAAACTAAATGTGAAAAATATTCAGTCTCTCCTCCCCTAGGGTCAGTCTCTCCTCCCCATAAGGTCAACTACAAAACTAGAAAATAAGTGGTTGGGCATGTTGACTTAGTGAAACTTAGTGAACAACCATTGAGTAAAGTCTGGTACGCTCTGATGTAAACACTGAAACTTTAATTGAAAAGGGAAGACAGTAAAATATTCAAAACAATACTCAAACTTCCATGAAAGACTTTAAACTCTACATAAATTATGTGAAACTTTAATTTCTTGACAGTATTTAGGCAAAAATAATTTAAAAATAAATAAGTAGTGTACAAGCCATGTTCCATGCAGAAAGAAAATACAAATATTTTACTTATTAATTTAATTGTGTATGCTTAAAAGTAAAATATATATATATATATATTACTGGTTTACATATGACTTTTTATAATATAAAGCTAATTTCATATATGATGGACAAAGAAAATTAAAGATTGTATATATGTTGTTAACTTATATTTACATTCAAACACTTCCTTACAATACTACTGAATATAAAGGATTATTAAGAATTAGATTTTCATCAAGAATGATGTTTGTATCTTATTTTAAACTCTTAGAAGATGATAATAAAGAGTCCCAATAGCAGATGGAGAAGACCCAATCTGACATGAGATGCACTGCTGGTTGTAGCTGGTTGCCTGGTGGATGTCAAGGTGGTAGGTGTCGTTGGAGCCAGAGTTGTAGTGGTAGGAGCGATAGTTTTGATGTTAGAAGCTCCAGCAATGGGGTTTGGAGCAGTGGGAGTGGTTGTTTGCAACACAGTTATAGTGGTAGTAGAAGCACTTGTGGTGGCTGGAGCATCTGTTGTGGTGATAGCAGCAGTTTTGGTGGTTGGAGCAGCAGTTGTGGTGGTTTTAACAGCATTTGTGGTGGTTGGTGCAGCAGTTGTGGTAGTTTGCGCCACATTTGCAGAAGTAAGAGCAGCAGTTGTCTGGGTGGCAGCTGTGGTTAAAGCAGAAGTTGTGGTGGTTGCAGCAGCAGTTGTAGTGGGAGCGGTGGTTGTCGCAATTGGAGGAGCTGTTGATGTGGTTGGAGTGGCACTTGTGCTTGTTGGAGGTGCACTTGGGGTGGATGGAGGAGCAGCAGTTGTGGTAGTTTGTGCCCAATTTGTAGAAGTAAGAGCAGCAGTTGTCTGGGTTGGGGTGGAAGTAGACGTTGTTTGAGCAGCAGTTGTGGTGGTTGGAACAGTTGTCGTGGTGGTTGAAGGAGCAGTTGTGGTGGTTGTAGCAGCAGTTGTGGTAGTTTGCGCCACATTTGCAGAAGTGAGAGCTGCAGTTGTCTGGGTTGGGGTGGCGGTTGTGGTTGGAGCAGAGGTTGTGATGGTGGCACCAGCAGTTGTAGTGGTAGGAGCAGTGGTTGTGGTAGTTGGAGCAGCAGTTGATGTGGTTGGAGTGGCACTTGTGCTTGTTGGAGGAGCAGTTG